AACCCTAAGCATCTTCACCTATCAGAGCATTTTAAGTTTGTGTTGTGCAGGAGAATACTTCCTTTCTGAGAGGATATTCACAGGCACTGTCACTGCTCTCTTTAGATCAGCACACCCCCACAACCCTGCATGTATCACGTACTGCAGTCTTTCAGCCTTACACAATTAAAGAACATTGAATGTAACTCTTACTAAAATCTGTCCAGGTTATATAAAGCCCTAAGTAACACTCCAATAACAAGCACATACAAGCAAAAACTACTGGTGTTCAATCACCTCTTGAACATTTTAGACAGTGATGTTAACTTTCAGGAGAAATACTGCCACTGATGATGGTGTCCACCTTAGCGAGCAGATATTCATTTCAAATGTAATAATAACAATAAATGAACTTTATTGATCTCACATCGGAGAAATTTACCACTGCATTAACCTATTTCCTTGGGAAGCAGTAGGCTGCCATTGTAGGGCGCCTAGAGAGCAGTGTGGGTGCTGTGGGAGTCTGTGAGAGTGGGGCTCGAACTCCCAACTTCAGGATTCCAAGCTCTATTCGCTAACCAGTAGAGGGTATGAGACTGGCTAAAAGTAAAAAGCTAACAGAGACAGAAGTATTAGAAATACCCTCACCTTTAATGGTAACATGTACCGTGTTGCTGACAGATGAGTTAACCAGCCCCCTTTTACTGTTGATCTGGTAGAGGCAGGTGTACTCGCCCTCCTCCCCTCCTCTTAATGGGCCCACATTGAAGACTCCTGGCTGTGGTTCAGAGTTCGACATCTGACTAGCCTGACGCTGTGGGATGACAGATGTCACTCCTGTTTGCGCCCTCAGCAAAAGATAGGTTGCAGGTTTGTTAGACTGGGACTGCAAATGGTAGGAGTGAGTGGGGACGCTACATCGGAAGTGGAGCGTGTCTCCGAGTTCTGCCGCCTCGTTGGAGGGCTGTACGGATAACACTGGTGAGGGGAACGAAGGAATGGATGGAGTTGGGCCTTCAGCTGTGGGGAAAAGAAGAAAAGAAACATCCTGATTTTGTGATCATCCCTACTGTCTTTAAAGACAACCTTGACCAAAACAATTCTTTGTCTAATCAGACACAAAATTGGATTCAGTGTTTTTTCAGGGCTTTAACATGTGTTTTGGTTCCCAAGAGGGCACCTTAGCATGTGTTCTTCAACAGCTTGGCCACAAAAGGGGGCAACCGCCCCTCTGTGCACCCCTGTGGACGTCCCTGTACAAATAACGAATCCAAGCGAGATCTAAAACATGCATAGATGTGTGTCAAACTCCAAGCTTTTGCACGAAAATGTTAATTCCTGAGCACATCTATAGATCAAGATATTGCTTATAAAGATGAAAAAGAACTCAGTACACTGATGGTGCTGCCATTAGCATATGGGGGATCAATTATAAAGTTTTTTGGTTTGTTTTAGAGTAAAGACATTTGTTTCAGTCCAGTTTTATACATTGATAAGAAGACCAATTAAAGGCGGAGGGAAATCATCATGATTGCTGAAGAGTGCAAGCGAAGATCGTCGCCACAGGCTCATCAAGGAGCTACATGTCTTACTAGTCAATTGCTGGAACTGGTTTTCCTAACCAATCTGACCAGATTGGCTCTGTAAAGTACTTTAAGATGACGGATATTGTGAATTGGCACTACATAAATAAATGGAATTGAATTGAGTGGAACGTTGTCCACTTGGATGAGATTGTGGGTTCGACTGTAACAAATGGTAAAAAAATATGTACATATGTTGTATCATTTAAGATCAAATGGAGGGATTTCAGAGCTTTACATAAAATATCAATAGAAAAATACCTGAAGTAAAATTCAGATTGTCTGATTTACAATATTGCAAGAGGATGCTCTTTTTTGGTGTCTCCTAGTCAAGCTAGTTTTTTATAGCAATATCATCTGAATAGAGAAATGACTGGAATGGCTTTTAAAGCAACCTTGTTTTACTCTTCAAGGTTGTAGTAAAGCATGTTTAAAAGCCTCTGGCATTCAAACAGAAATCAGAGAAGAGTGGATTTGATCAGCCATACAAACGACCTACTTTATTTGATATTTATCAGTATTGGGTACCAGCTGTCCAGGATGAGTACCGCCTGTCATCCAGTGACTGCTGGAGATAGGCTCCAACCCCCCTCTGCAACTATGAGACAATAGATGAATGATTTGTCACAATACTGCCATATTCCAACCTCCTAACTAAACTTCCCTTCATGAGCAGCAGTAGTGGAAACCAGTTTAGATATGATTGATCTTTTTGTCTGTATGAAGCTGTCAGTGGGTGTGTAGTTCTATATGAAGCACAGGATGTGACAGCCGCTATCCACACCCACAGAGCTGAGGACAATAAGAGACCACAGACAGCACCTGCATACTGAAATGCGTTTTTGTGGTTAGTGTAGACCGGAAGGGAGTGTTTATTTTATACAGAGTGTTGAATCTCAACTTAAATCAGCCTTACACATGCATCTGCTGTTTGTCTTCTTTATATTTTGTTTTTATTTCTACTGAACTGTATTATGTGTATCATTCATAATTTATCCATAAGCAGTGATTTCTGTTACACGGTGAAAAAAAGTACAGAAATATACGTAAGAATTTCCCAGACTATTTTTCTGAAGAAAAAAAAAAGGATAACAAGCAATCAAATAGGAAAGTGGTAACACAGTACCTTTTTGTTTCTTAAGTTGTAAGTAGGGACTGAAGAGACTGTACATTCCCTCTTGGTTCTTGTACAGGCAGCAGTAAAGATAGCGCTGGCCTGATTTTGATTCTTCCATCCTGACAGTGAAGTAAACCTTCTCCTCAGCATACTGCAGTTCACGCCAGTCAATCTCAATAAAATGAGAAAGTAAAGCACTAAATTTAATCGGTACACATTAAATACAATACACAAAAACGTTAACTTTTCAACAAAGACTTCTAATTACTTTTTCTTTGTCACGGTACAACATGAACAGAACCCCATGGTGACCCTCAGGGGCTCCGCAGACCAGAACTACAGAGTCTCCTGACTTTGAATAGATGTCCAGGGTTGGTGTTAGAAGCGCTGGAGGAGACGTGGAGGCTGAAAGCAGCTCTGCATGAAAGAGAGATCAGATAGAGCTTACACAACTACCCTAAAAAATAACAGCATCATCTGCAAATGTGCAAATCAGTGATTTCTACATCAGGTGACATTCAGGTTGAAATGCTGAAAATTACAAAACTGAAAAGAACATTTGCAACTCTCTCCCTCTCTCCCCCTCTCTCTCTCTCTCTCTCTCTCTCTCTCTCTCTCTCTCTATATATA